TTGGAAATGTGAACGAAAGCGCAAAAAAATCATATTTCACCAAAAAAAAAATCCAAATGTAGCATTAAGTCCTGCAGTCTGAACGTAGCCAATCTGTTGGACTGTTAAGTCAGATAATATGCCGCTGTCTTTATTTGTGACACAAAATTTCATGTCGGAGTTGGAATCCAAGGCTGTTGGTATGTTAAGGCCATTTTAAATGGGTTCTGTTCATTTTTCATAGAAACCTGTCGAATAGGAAGGTTTTCGGATTGCTAAGTGTCAGATTATCAAGTCACTATTGTAGATTATACATGCAAATATTTTGCGAATTCAGGCACTTCCAAGATATCGCACTATCATACGGTATCTGATTGGACAGTTTAAATGTGCCAGAAAGGCCAAAAACTTCTCTCCCAAAGTGATGTATGTGACAGCGATGTTGGAGACAAAATAGTAGGAAATTGGAGGAATTCTCCAGTTCTCCTGTATCTGCTGCCCTGAAGTGTTGCAACAGTAACCCAAGCATGAGCACTGCTTGTACTCTGAATCACACGAGCAGCGCTGTTGTCAGTTTGCCTGGCATGGACTGCAGCCTCTTCTCTGGGCAAGTTTTATTTCCAGAGCCAGTGCGGATACAGACATCCAAGTAAATTATAGTCTTGAGTGCATTAAATCACATAATTTGAGTCTTTTTCAAATTAAGAACATATGCTGCATGTAAACACTGTTACACTGTTAAAATGTGCTCTTGGCTTCTGAATTATATAAGAGCAGAGCACAGAATGTATCCTTGTGCAGTTAGAAGGTGGCCATAGACCTTCAGAAAAACAGATGAGCATAAGGAAGGATACCTTCGCCTGCACTCTTCATGTGCTACCGGATGCACTTTACTTTATACTGAAAGGACACTTCTCATAATACATCTTCAAAGCCGCGTTCAGAGCGACATAAAGTATATCCTTCAATTCCTCATTGTGCCATCCTGTCCAACAGTTAGTAGTTAACACAAAGAAGAACATCATCATGTGTAAATACAACCAAACACTCTGATGTTGATATAGTTCTTCCTAATTGACAAATGGACCGCATGAATGAAGCAGAGCCGGCCCTTGGCATAGGCAGTATAGGCAAATGCTAAGGGGGCAGACATCCACGGGGGGTGCCACAAGCTGAGGAAAGGACCACAACAACAACAAAAGAAACAGTGTTACTATTATTACTATTATTCTGAAATATCACTTAAACCCACAGCAACCTAACTTCATAGCAAAGTCTCTTTTAAATAATCTAGAGGCATTTTTTTGTTCGTTTGTTTCTTGGCTGCGTCACTGAATTTCTACCTCTGTGTGGGGTGGGAGGGTGTTGTGTTGAAGACCGTTTCCCCGTCTAGATTCAACAATTCAACTCCATTGAAGTCCCGTCCAGGGGAATGGATCTCGACGGGGAACCTGTCGTTGACACAACACCGGTCAGAGACGAATCGTCTGAAAGTGAGGGGACATGAGCCACAACCAGCAGACTGATTTATACACAGCGAGGTATTATGAAGAGGGTAAAACAGTGTGGTACACAGGGAAGGAAAAGAATAAAAGAAGAGGAAGAAAAAAGGGAAAAAGATTGACAGACAATAACGTCAATGTGATGGAATTAAGTAGATTATGTTAATGGGCCGTAGTTACTGTTGTTGGAGCAATGCTAACTTGCTAGCTTATTTCGGACGACAGCCGCATTGTTTATAATCAATAAATAGCTATAGTTGGCTTACATTCATGATACCACCACCTTAAATTAATCAAAGATATTTAGAAACTTAATATTAGGCCTGTTCAGATGTTATTTTAACCTGCTGAATGTATTTTCCCTGCTGTCCATTAAAATGCTTATTTTCCTACGTCTTTATATCCTATAGAGTGCTAGGTTTACTCCAGTATTAAAGTACAGTTGATAATACTTTAGCTTCTCCATACTATAATAAATTACACATACCTATATATATATATATATACACACACACACTTATATATATGCACTAAACCACGATGAGACCTTTTGGAGGCCTGTGATTCAGTGTTGGAGGGAGCGACACCACTTGAGGTTCAACACTCATCGTACTCGAATCCCAGATTAGCTTGAATTTAGCTGTAAATTTATTTTAGCACCAGCATGCAGCATTGAAGCCCTACTTTCCCAAAGAATCTCTTGACTCAAGAGTCAAAGTTTCCAATTATTCTCAGCGGTTTTGTCTTCATCTTATATTCATTTTATCTTAACCTTCTGCACAAACCATGCACAACCAAAATGCAGATGTTGGTGTAAGATAAAGCACTGATCCGTGCATCTAGAGGAGCTTTCTATCTCTGTTACACCTTGTGTTTCCATGTCACTAGAGCTCCGGAAACATCTTTAACAAGCATCTCTGAATCACTCATCAGCTCAAAGTTTGATTGGACTAAAAATATTTCCTCCACAGAGTTGGACATGATAGTTATTTATGAAGCTTCCCACACAAACTCTCAGAAAGCGTTAAACAGTCTCCTCTGAGTGTGAATGACATCATCGCTCTCTTTGTAGTTATTCTTAGTAATCGCTATGTACAGTCAAGACTAAAACACTGATACAGGCAGAAGTTAAAAAAGGTTGTTTTCTTTTTGATTACTCTGTAAGACATTAATATGAAAAATGACATTTTACATGGATTCACTTAGAGAAATCATTAAATGTGAGCTATTCAGTGAGAAACATAAGGTGACCACCGGTCTGAGTGGGATTTTTCGCAAATCGAGCTGTGGAATGATTGAATATTTGTGCCGTCGGTGCTCTTAGGTGCAATAAACCCAATCATGGTTACGTGAGAGAGCCAAGCCATCGCTGCTGTAGCTGTATTTCTTTGTTGTCAGTTTGGCTGAAATTACAAGAATTCTGTGAAGCAGAAACAGACTTGCGGGAAAATTACAATATCAATAACTTAACATATGAACCTTAGCTCTAACACATCTTTAAACCAAACTTGAAAGCCTGCTTTCTTTCTTTTTTTAAACCTTAAAAAAAAATTGTAATTAATTATGAAGATTCCAAACAGTCAGGCATTTTAAATGTCATGACTATTTGTTTTCTTTGATTTGGAAAAGACTGCGTGTGTAAATAGTGTATTTTAATGTCAGTTTGTTGGTCTGTAGATGTTTTTATTACCTTTTTTTAAAATTCTCTTTAAAATTATATCTTGATCTCAATGAGACAACAGTATGAATTCAGATTTTTAAAAAATTAACTATTGCCATTTACATGAATGTTGATGGATGATAGATAAAATAAAGCCACAGACCCAGACACACACAGATATACAAAAGTACAGATATAGATAAAGATGCATTGCACTGCACTTGACAGATCATCTCTCATGTGTTTTTCATTGAACACATTTGGGATTTTCGTCAATGGAAAAACATGGGTGAGAACAATAAAATTAACATCGGCTGAATTCCATTTAGCTCCTTCAGTTGCTCGTGCTGGCTCACTGTCGTGACTCACTGGGAGACTTGAATAGAGCTGAGCCATTATAATATTTTTAGCAACACCTGTGCTTTTCCTACTGTGACAAGTTAAAATGCTTGCTGTGCATCAAAAACCCTGCTGGAGGAGATATTATGACTTTCTTTCTGTCATCACAAAACCTTAGATCCACGAGTAAGAGAGAAAGCACCTCTAAAACTCCAATTTATAAGGAGAAATTATAAAGCTCACTACTCTGTGAGCTCAGGTATGCTTCTAATTCATAACTAATTTATTTTATCAGTGTAGGACGGTGTTTATTTCTTGCCTGTTGGAGGAGATATAATTCTGCTCCAAAAACCTGTTTTCGTGGCTGACATGAAGGAGAAACCTCAGATGAGCGAGAGGCTGCAGAACTGAGTCCTGTCAGGTGGTGTGCTACAGTAGCAGTCGGTGAGCATTGCTGATCTGACACCAAATCCACAGAACAACACGCAAAGCAACCCCATGAGCCATGATAAATAAACCCATCCTGCACATGCACAGACCTTCATCACTTACAGCCAAGACAGGCAGCAGCTCAGATCGAGGCAGAGCTGCATGTATATACTCAAAATCACAGTTGATTTCGCATTAAATTAGATTTTTTTTTTTTTTTTTACATTTCTGATATCAGCAAAGGTAGCTTATTTGGCTGTTCGTGTTTCAAGAGCTCCCAAACTTGGTGCTTCTGGAGGATTTTAGGTCTCCATCAGTGGTTCAGACTTCACTTAAAGGAAGATTAGAGCGAACAGCAGGGCGGCACATTGAATAAAAAAGACACTCAAGCAGATGACCAACCCACATACTGATAATTATCTGCCATTTTGAACTGTCTGGGCAAATCACCATCTCCATGACACAGCTGTAACACAACTCCTCCAAATCAGGGAGGGGTACAAAGAAAAAGTTAATTTTCCAATTCTGGATTCCAACTGGGCTTCAGCTAGTGTTTTTGAGAAGTGAAGATAGTCTTTCCAAAACTTCTTAAGGCCCTACAGATATTCCACTGGGATGTATGAATTAGTTAAAAGCCACCCGAGGCAATAATACATCAGGGGACCCAGAGCTCCTCCACGCCCCTGTTGGAGTCTATCTCTCAGGAAGCCCCTGGAGGCGCAGCGTCACCGCTATTTTCCGCCTTAGAATAATGATAGTAGGCATTTCAACATTTGCAGGTATTTGGTCATTATAAGAATTCCTTCTTGGAAAGATGAAAAATTAGACTGTAATTTCTCTCACGCAGAGAGAGGAGCCGCCGGGAGCATCACGTCGACCACCGCACCAACTCTCGCCACACGGTGGCCCTGTGTCTCTCCTTCTCGACGCTCCTCCTCGCCTCCGCCACCGTAAAAAGCTCAGCCTCCCTCCCTCAATCCCTCCCCTCCCTCCCACCACCAACCTCCTCGTCCTCCCCTCTACTTCCACTCTTTTTCCTCCCGTCGCGCTGCGCACAGCCAACAGACGGATCCTCCAGCTCCGGTGCGAAGATGGTCGGCGGCTTGTGCGCTCGCAGGTTGGCCCGCCGGTCTCGGTCCGCCCTGATCGCAGCCCTCACGGTGCTGCTGGTGCAGACGCTGATCGTGTGGAACTTCAGCACCCTCGACTCCGGCGAGGAGAGAGAAAACGGGGGCTCCAACGTGCGGGAGAAGAGGGACCGGGTCGCGGGCAACAAAGCCGCTGGCAGCGACTATTTCCATCAGCAGCAGCAGCACGGGGTCCAGCAGCGGCGGCAGCAGCATCTTCCTCCGCCGGGGAGGGGGACGTCTCGCCACATACAGCAGCCGGTAAGCAACTAAGACTATTCATTATCACATCCCCGGCTTTTAGGAAGCAGCCGCTGTCTGGTCGGGGATGAAGGGGTTGGCAGGCGGGTCAAAACATCTCCAGTTTACGCTTTTAGGGAGACGAGCGCACGGCAGGGCCTCCGAATCAATGAATGTTTGTTGTCACTTGAGTGGAGGCTGCCTCGCAGGGAAACGATACGATGTCTGAAGCGATGCGAAGCTTCTGTGTTTGCTGTGAAGACGGGCATCCTACGGCTGGATGAAGCCACACTGCGCCGTTTGAATGAGCGCACTCCGCTCCAGACTGCAGTTTCAAAATGCCAAAGCTTTAAATCTGGACTCAGCGTGCAGTTTACCTGCAGGGCAGAGCGGTGGCAGAGAAGGGACACATCCTAAGATAGCAGCTGTGGAGGTGCTTGAGCAGCACAGCCGCTGACTGGGGTTGTAGCCTCATACCTGTCACGGTCCATTTGGTGTTTCAAGTCAACTACAGTAGCTGCGTGGCTCAGCAGCGCTGTCTGAGCAGGCCAAATTGAGACATAACCTAATTTGCAGAGTAGTTTTTTGATGAGTGTACAAACATCATCTGTTGTTCGTGAACACATAAGCGCTTTTCATTGTCAGTGGCAACATTAAAACACAAATGCCAAGACAGATATGCAGACAAAACGAACCCATGCACAGTGAATGTGCTGCACACAAAATGAATAAGTTCAACATTGCCTGTGGAACTGAGGAGTGGCAGATTTAATGTAATCCAGAAAATTAAAAAAAATAAAAATAAAAATTGGCTCCCAGAAACCCAAATATTTATTTGTAGATTCCACTGACTGAGCTCTGTGCCCTGGAGGCTGTCACACCGAGCAGGTTTTTTTTTTTTTTGCACAGAGCTTCCTCCATGCAGCATCTGATTAATTTTCTCACAACCTGCTGTCAGGAATTACTGATCTTCCACCTCGCATGGTCTCTCAAGCATCCAGGTAGCCCCCTGAAGAAGTTGGGAGTTGTTCCTGGCAGCCGTGCAGCAAGTTTCCCCCTCATAAAAAGCTGCCAGCCCATCCAAGTGTGGCCCTACTTTTCAGCCACCGTGCAACTAGCAGATAACCGGCTGTGATGCGCCATGATACACTATGTGGCAGTCAGTCACTGTATCATCTGTCTCCGGCGCACTTTTTACAGTGATTCACTCACTTCATCTGGCCGGACTGTGTGTCCCACCTGCCGGCATCTCTGCAGTGCAAAGTCATGCCAAGGACGGGTTATATTTGAGTCAGTTGTCTGTTTTCCAACAGTTGGAGGATTCTCTAACGAGATATCACTGTAATATCCCCCCGTGTTACTCATGTACGACGTGTATTGCTCCTCACTGAATTGGCATTAATATTTGCTGTGTGGGATTCCTGTCTTGTATGAATTGAAAACAAGGAGATCAGTTGTTTCAGAACCTTTTCATGCTGCATCAACACCAATTTGTCCAAATGCGTTTCACTATTAAAACACATAGTGGAACCGCTCACATGACCTTTCAAAGAACAGCTTTCATCCCTGTAGCCTGCAGGCGCTTCACTGTATGCCAGTCAGTCAGTCCAGCAGCCTGTCAGCTTCGCCGGCTGCCTGTCAGATTGTTGACTCGCTCGCTGCAACTCTGTGGCCTCCGGACTCGTACGATTCAACCGGTCGCCCTCGGCCACTTGCATATTCCCTCCACTAGCTAATCACTGCATTTTCATTTCTCTCTCCCCTTGTGGGTGGTGTGTGTTTGTGTGTTTGTGTGTGGCTTTGGCAAGGCGGAGTTGTCCAGCCTAAGGGTGACGCATAAGCGCCAACTGATGCTATATGAGACATGTCGGGGAGGGGTTGCGCCGCACTTTGATCTCGAATAGAATGAGCCAGAAGGTACGATATGACAATGGCAGACTTGCGATGCGATAACTCGTGTTGGATGGAAACATTATGCATAGCTTTGAATAGGTCCTCCCAGCAGGCAGGAGCTACAGTTGTCATTAGTGGTTGTCTCCTGTTGTGTCTCTTGAGGAAAAATGCTGCTGGAGTGCGTCGACATCTTCCTCTATCGTCCAACAGCTTGTTCCTCATGTCTTCTGCCGCTGTAAATACGCAGGGTTTATTCACACTAATGATATTATGTCTTTTATGCGCTGGCGGCGGCTACCTGTTGCAGATTCATCATCGAAAAAGTTCTACACGCATTCATTAGTCTGTCGTGTTTTACCTGACATCGGTTTATTACAAGAGTTAGTATCACAATTATTATTAATAGGTGCTTATTAAGGCGGCCCTGGTGATGGATGTGAAAAACTCTTAATGTGCCAGAATTAAAACCAATCTACCTTCGGCAGCAGAATGAGTAAACCTTCTGAAAAGCCTCCCAGCTTACATCTGGTCGTCAGCGTTTTGTTTCCATCTGCCGCGGTAGTCGTATAGTATCATCATCCCCATGTGCCCAGTGGGTGTCGAGCTCACACATGTTGTAAAGAAGTTTCCCAGTTAGTCATGGCAATACACGTAACATTACCTCTGATGTACACTTTTTCCACTGCACTGACTTTTCCTATTGGCTCCCTATGACAAACACAGCATTACCAATCATCTGGAGGTTCCTTCCACAGTTTTTTTTAATTTATTCATTTTTTTCAACATGAACCAGAAATGTGGGGATGATATATGACAGACTTAACCACAAATTCTAAATTCTATTGCATTGTAGGGATGTTCTTTGCAATTTTCCCCACAGTGACACGTTCAGCTTTGCCGCAAGATCTAATTTATACAAAGGAAACGGGGCTATTTTAATAGAATACTTTGTGATTGACAGAAGGCCTTGTTATTTCTGAGCCAGAGGAAAAAAACAGAAAAAGAGGAGAGAAGAAAACATGGAAGGAAGTCTCCAACTCCTGTCCAATCAGCTCTATAAGGGTTCCTGCATGTGACCACAAATGGCTTAATAATAATGTTCCCAAGTCATTTAAAACCATGTTTATCTTCAATCATAATGAAGTCGCTGTTTGCAATCGGACGGAACAAGAAAAGAGCCTCGGATCTGTGACGAAACTGATTTAGAAGGCAGTCTGGACGGACAAATAAATATGTAAGAGTGAAAAAAAATTCTTTACTTCAGTCACGCTGGGATTGACTTTGAACTTCAGATCAGGCACAAAACAAGAAACAATGCGCTCTACATATGTGTTGTATTTGGGAGCTTTGCTGAAATCCAGAGTAACTCCCATGTATTCTCCAACTACCACCACAACCACAGTGTGATTCATCCCACTGTGGCCATGATCACAGTGCTGACTCACACACACACACACACACACACACACACACACACACACACACACACACACAGACACACACACATACACACCAGCGCTCTCACA